GGTCATTGATAAAGACATTAAACAACTGGCCCCAATACAGAGCCTTAACAGTTTCTTAAATTAGGAGCTATCTTCACTCCGTGTAAGAACAAGTGCATGGTTCAGACTCACTAAAGACGTGTTTCTTCTCTAGTATCTGTCTGAAAAAGGCTAGCATGCCAGAAGTTGCTCCTGCTCTGGGGAAGGAACCCGTGGTATAGGTGCTATATTTGAAAAGCAGAGGAACTACTTCTACGTTTCTGCTGACCTTTCCAAAAGATTTAGAACAGGCATATTAACAGATATTATTGGATTCACATATGTGTTAGGTGGTGGGAGGGACTCCACCGTTCAACGCAGAGTACTCAGCACTTCCTCAGCATTAGGCTAGCTAGAATTACTTAAGGATGCAGACTGCCATCCTGCTACTGCCAAATTAAGTGTGCGGTGTCCTGGGACTTGATAAAACACAATGAATCTTCAAAAGTTATGCTCTCTAAGATTGGTTTGTGGGGTTTTTTTTAAGCCTCTTAAGTTTGAGGAGGAGGGAATGTGAAAAGATTCAGCATCATGCAGCCTCTTTTTGGTGATTTGTAAATGCGAAGTAGGACTGAGCAGCTGGAAAAATAACTTTTTAAACACTAGGGAATTGATGCGAAGAGGTTTTCTTAATTTATTGGGGAGCTGAATGATAGGTGTGTTGAGCTGTGAATGTCAGCGAGGTAAAGTTTTGTTCCTTCGCTATAGAATTAAGGTACAACAATAAAAACATGGAATTTCAACAGGATTGCTGGTAGCAGCCTTTCACCTCATCCAATAAGGTAAAAGCAAGTACAGATGAAATTTCAGGTCTGACTTCTAAGCTTTTTAAAAATGAATAATACAAATGCCAGAGTCCCTCCATATTTGCAAAGGATTTAAAGCAGAACACCTTGAAATAGGATTTGTTAAACCAAATATGACGAGGGGGTACTTCGGTGACCGTTTGCTGTGTAGTGCTTGTCACGCTGCAGAAGCTCACTGATTCCCTTGGTGTTTCAGGCCCGGCGGTTGTCCCTCACCAGTACTATGGAGTTACGCCCTGGGGAGTTTATCCTGCCAGTCTCTTCCAGCAGCAAGCCGCCGCCGCTGCCGCCGCCACTAATTCGGCGAATCAGCAGACCACCCAGCAAACCCAGCAGGGCCAACAGCAGGTAAGGGGTAGGGTCCTTTGCACACCGAGCCCTTTACAGGGGGGACAGCCGCTTTGAATAATCTGATTTCTCTTTCTCAACGGCTGCTCCTGGCCCTCGGCTGTAACTGAGGAGAAGGGCAGAGCCGTAGGCCTCTCTTAAAAAAAGAGAAGAAACATCTGCATATTCTGTTACTTCTGCATCGTGCACGTGGAGGACAGTGCACCTACAGTTGTGGTGGTGAATTGTTGTGTGGGAATGCTCTGGAGAACAATCTAATCAGTTGGTGAATGCTGCTGAGCAAATGCAGGCTGTTGGCATGCAAGTGGAAATTGTCATCTTAGGGTCTGCTTTTGTGCCCATCACTGCAGCTTGAAGGCTGTGGAGATAACATGTGTCCAGTACTGAATGTCAGCAAGTGTGTTCTTCTGTGCAGGATGCTGTCCAGTATAAAATACTGGGGTTTTTGTGAAGACTAAAATGGTCAAAATAACAGCTGAATGAATTGGTTTGATATCTGTGTGAGGACTTGGAGACAAAAGACGAGTACAAAAAGAACCTCACTGAATTTGACGTTTTTATAAGAACTGTGCAGCTCTTTTGCTTTAATCTACACAAAAATTTGGAGAATTTGACACCTAAAAGGACAAAATTAATGAATCTGGTGAAAGGTTTTTCATATGAACTGCTGTTACCCCATTAAGGGTTTGAGATGAATATTGAGACAGTTAAATGGTCTTTTTTTTTTAAAAAAAAGTGATGAAGGGGTCTCAGGGCTGCGAAGGGAAGCTTTTCCTTACGTACTTTGTACAGGATGTGTGCTTGGTGGGGTTTGCCCCATCCACCTCTTCTGCCTTAATCCCTTGGCAGTGAGAGCATACTGTATTATACAGCCTGTACTGCTCTCCTGCTGGATTGTTGTGCATCTTTGTGATGAATCACTGTGTAATTTCTTGCTCAGGATCCTCCCTCCCCCTTGGAGTTTAACTAGGTTAATTTTCCTAACTTCAGTTGGGTAAAATAAGCATTTTGAAGGTCTGGTATTTAATCATAGTTGTACCTCTGATCCAGACGACACAAATGGGAATCTGGCAGCTACTGGAGCGGGTGGAAACTGAGAGACTGGCACACAGATTGATAGGGAACAATAATTCTCTTTCTTTACTATAAAAAAGCCATCCTAAACATCTTATTAAGTTGTATGGGAGCGCAGTTTATTAACTTGCTATTTAAATTGGCATTTAAGAAAAAAATCCAAACTTCCAGACTGAAGTGATGGTTGCTAAACTCATGTATTTAAGTTAAATGCTGGAAGGATGAGGTGTGTCCCATTATCCTTGGCTTGGTTCTTGTTCCCCTTGGACACACGGCGAATACATCCGCTCTTCTCCTTTCAGCCCCGAGCAGGGCCCGTAGGATGGGTGTCAGGAGCCGGACTTGGGCTTCTGTTACCGGGCCAGACCCCAGCTACTTTGTCTGGTATTTGGTTAAGGGCTGGTCCTTGCCTGAATTTGGCTTTATACAGTTTTATCAGCCTCTGTCCCATGGTACTTTCTGCTTGGGAACAAAATGGGTTCGTTATCCTACTGAAAAGGGAGGAGGCTCCTTTCTCACGGTAACGCAAAGCCTTCCTTTCTGGTCCCTGCGTGTCTGAGGTGGCAGTTGTCAAAGACAGCAACTGGCAGCTGAATTTCTTAGCTTCTGCTTTGAAAACTAAAACAAAACCCAGTGCTGGGTAGCAGCATAAGGTGCTTTCAGATAATCAAAGGAGTGATGTTTCACGCCAACGATTCTGGACCAGGAGTCAGGAGGAGAGCACGTTGCTCCTGACAGAGTTAATCTTCAGACCTCCCCGCCTGGCAGGTCACGGCCAGGAGCGTGTTGAACAGGCCTCTGGCACGCACCAGTGCGCACAGGTAAAACGGAGCTGAGTGTGTGTTAAAGCCGTTTATGCTTTGGCATTCAGACTGGGGGCCTTTACTCACGAGGAAGGCGTGTGCCAAGACAGCTTCTGCAAAGACTTAGGCTATTAAAATAAAAAATGTCCATCATCAGTAGCCTTTATAATATCTTTCATTACTTTTATAGCCATGAAGCGGGCATGAGTGGGGTCCATGAGTGTTGTTTTTATCGCAAACCTTCCATCCGTAAGAGGATACGGTGTCTATTTTTTGGATGAAATTTTTCCAAGAAGTGCTGAGGCAAATGTTCTGGGAACCTAGAGCGATGATTACGGACAGTTGATTTGTGATGCTTACGACACCTTAATAGCGTATTTATAAAAACGCCAACACTTCACTTCCTGCAGCCTGCCATCCGTCACATACATTCTGTACAGTGCCCTTGCAGGAGCATGCTCGCCAAGCAGCTGCATAGAATCATGGAATGGTTTGGGTTGGAAGGGACCTTAAAGATCATCCATTTCCAACCCCCCTGCCATGGGCAGGGACACCTTCCACTAGACCAGGTTGCTCCAAGCCTCATCCAGCCTGGCCTTGGACACTTCCAGGGATGGGGCATCCACAGCTTCTCTGGGCAACCTGTCCCAGTGCCTCCCCCCCCTCTGCGGGAAGAATTCCTTCCTGATATCTAATCTAAACCTCCCCACTTTCAATTTAAACCCATTACCCCTTGTCCTGTCACTCCCTGCCCTTGTAAAAAGTCCCCCCAGCTTCCTTATAGCCCCTTCAGGTACTGGAACTTGTACCTGAAGTTCAGGTACTGGAACCTGTGAGACTCTGTGCTGAAGAGTTCACATCCAGGCTTTGACAGCAAGAACAGATTGAGATACATGTCTGAATCAGTTAACATCAGTATCCTCTCCCAGCACACAGTCACTTTTTCCTTTTAGGAACTTTATCGGATGCCACACACGATGTTACTTTTTGTGACAAGGCATGCTGAGTACCAGAAGATGGCTTTTTTAATAAGCTGACCTCGCTAGTGTGTGCAGACTCCTGCCTCACCTTTGAGTAAAAGGCTTTTGCAAACACAGCCTGTCACAGGTAATTACAGGAAAGGTCAGTTTGCCATCTTCCCTTTTGAGAGCAACATGTGCTGAAACCACAAGAGCTACATATAAAAGGCGGTGTGTGATCTTCGGTCATTATTTCCGATGAGTAAGTGTGTGTCACTGGGTTGCTGGTTTCAGTGGGGGCTGGCAGCTTGGAAAAACCCGTGTCACCTCATGTCATCAGCCCCCAGCTCCTAAGCTGGGCTTTTTAAGGTCTCTGCTCAGGTATGCTTTCAGCAGTGCTTTTGTGTCAGAGACCACGTTTCCTGAGCTGGGCCAGGTGACTTGCAAACAGTTGTAACCGGATGAGTGTTGAAGGTATCTCAGGAAATGGAAGAGGTCAGATGATGAAGCGCTTCTGGATTTTGCTCAGTAAGCCTGAGAAGGGATGTATTATTTAATTTTGCTCTTCTGCATTTATCCATGGCGGGAGTGTAGAGGCTTGTGGTGGAGGCAGGTCTGTCCTGAGTACAGGGGAGGGGTTGTTACACGCTGGTTGTGTGCGAGAACTTCAACTAGACTGCTACTGATGCTCCTGCAAGTGTCTGTGTCTGCAGCTTGCTCCTAGGTCCCAAAATACACATCGATGTTCCTCTGTCTTCTCCAGGTTCTACGCGGGGGAGCCAGTCAGCGTCCTCTGACCCCAAATCAGAACCAGCAGGGACAGCAGACTGATCCGCTGGTGGCTGCTGCAGCTGTCAACTCTGCCCTGGCCTTTGGACAGGGGCTGGCAGCGGGGATGCCAGGTAGGGGCTCCGAGCGAGCTGCGACTTTTCCAGTGCCCAGGGAGATCCAAGAAAATCGTATCTTGTGTCTCTGCAGGGTGTCAGGTTTGCCTGGCATTCAGCAATGCTTTGTTTTTATTACTTTTTGGTTTTAATCTGTGGGTATACAAGGCTTTTTCAAGAGGCTGTTAGATGTGAACCTATGACCCTCTGCAGCATTTCCATCAAACCAGGGCTTAGGTCCCTGTGTCACAGATGAAAAGGAACGTTACCGTCTGTATTGCTGCACGGGTGTGTGAGTTGCTTGCGTACCCAAAGGAATTGATGGCCCCTACTGAAAGTTGCTTTCAGATTTTTCTGTGGATAATGTTAGCTTATGTGATCTTTATTTTAAAACCTGAGAGCGAGCTTAGTCCCATTCATTAGCCTTATCTCTCCATCCCTGCCAGGTGCTTGACCGTAACAAAATAAGTCCCCTTCATAATTTCTCCCATGCAAATACTAGGGGCTTAAAAACAAGAAAAGAAAACCAGTAAAAGGAAGCAGGGGTTTATTGTAATGTGTAATTCTGCAGGAGAGGAGCTGCTGTATGAATTTTAGCTCTGATCCGTGAGGCTGCTGTGACATTCATTTATACAGAATAGTGTTGTAATGGCGAAGGGCAGGCATAAGGGTTCTTTTGACTGTGGGGAAGTATGTCCTGCTGGTCAAGTGTAAGAGATCTGGATTGTTTCAGCCCCTGGTCTTCTCACTGGAAGTGTCACGTGGTTGTGGCACCGGGCATTTTTGTAGCTTTAGAACAATGTTGCTGTATTAAGTTACAGACTGACTTGTAATGTGCATGTTTTCCAGTAATCCACAGATTTCCTTAAATCTGCATTATTGGGGTTTTGGGGGTTATATTTGCAGAACAAATATTCACAGAGAACATTCTCTTTCTGACCTCACCATGGAGAATCACTTCACTTTTTTCCTAAAAGTTTTATTTAACTGTAGAATTATATAGCGAGGTACCTGAAGAGCTATATACTGCTGAAAACTTGTTTCTCTGTATATTGCCAGCATATTTGATTTAAGAGTGTTTATATGTATTAAAAGAATGCTTTATGATACATACCTTCAGAAATACACAACTTCAAGTTCCGTGTCTTGTTTGCATGTGTGTGCACACTGAACAGCTTCAGGGTGCGGAGGTGCAGTGTGCTCACATACTTGAACACGGGATACTCAGAAGGGAAAAGACCTTTTTTTATCCATATAACTGAATTCACACAGCGGGCCATGCTAGTAAAGTAGGTTCAGGGGAGCGGGGCGCAGAATTCTTCTGTACCTGAAAGTCTTACTAGTGTAATGTCATGGACCGTTACTGTGGATTTTTTTTTTTCCCTTTAGGAGAAGCAGAGCTGTCGTTGCTTTTTCCATTCAAATTTTCCTTTAAAAATCCTATTGCACTGTACTCCTGAAGACGATTGATCTGCCACGTGTTGTGCTGCTTGTTACCTTAACCTGTGCGCCTGTAATTTGCCTCTTCAGGTTACCCAGTGCTGGCTCCTGCTGCGTACTACGACCAAACAGGTGCTCTCGTGGTGAACGCGGGGGCCAGGAATGGCCTGGGGGCCCCCGTCCGTCTGGTAGCCCCTGCCCCAGTCATCATCAGCTCCTCTGCGGCACAAGCAGGTGAGTCCCGTCCCGTCCCATCCTGCTCGTCCCTGGCAGAGGGTGGACCTGCAGCCCTCTGGGTTCTGCAGGCAATGATGACACACTTGCCCTCACTGAGATCCGTTGCAGAGATTGTTGTTGAGAACGTCCTCTGTGCTCACTGTGGGCTGAGCCTCCAGAACAGCCTCAGAGAGAGGTAGCGTCCCGTAAACTCTGTTACAGTTTTGCAGAGTTGCATGACAGTTATTTAAATGTGTCTGCTAGCATCTAGTTTCCCACGTAATGAAAGGTTTTCACCTGGGTAGAACTCCCACATGCTCACCTTGCGTAAAATCTTACATGCCTGGCCTTTGCCATGAGTTGTTCTGGGTTTTATTAGGGTTCTTTGCGAGTTCAAGGCTTCAAAAGGATTTTTTCCACCAGAATTTGTGCGTGTAAGCAGTCTTTGCCAGTGTTAGAGTACGAAATGGGCCTTTTAATTGTTTCCTTGTAGCTCTTGTTTATTTTGCTTTTCCTTTTACTTTAGAACTGTCTGGAAAAGCAAAGTGCTTGCTTTTGATGTTCTCGGCACCACAGGATTGCGTTTTGTGCTCTAAAATTTTGCTTATTTCAAAACTTGTGTTTCTTAATTGGCTATTGCGAAGCATGTGGCTGTATTGATTTGAATCTTAGATCTTAGGAGAAAGGGAGCATTTTTGTGTGTTTGATGGGGGTAGCTCTAATACTACAAACAACAGCACTAATAGCCAGGCATTGTTGGCATTCACTGGGTCTGTGCAAGACTTGTGGAGCTCAGATACACAGCAAAGAGAATTTCTGCAGAGTTTGTGAAAGGGAGATCTTCATCTTGAGGGGAAAGAAAAAGATCTATAGTAAATATAAGGAACCTGCTAAGTTTTAACTTCCAAAACTGCTCTGAGAATGGATTTTTCAGTCTGTGCTTCCAATTACTTTCTCTGTAGCGGTTGCAGCGGCTGCAGCTTCCGCCAACGGGGCAGCGGGCGGCCTGGCAGGAACGACAAACGGACCGTTTCGCCCTCTAGGAACACAGCAGCCCCAGCCCCAGCCCCAGCAGCAGCCCACCAACAACCTGGCATCCAGCTCGTTTTACGGCAACAACTCTCTCAGCAGCAATTCCCAGAGCAGCTCACTCTTTTCTCAGGGCTCTGCCCAGCCTGCCAACACTTCCTTGGGATTCGGAAGCAGCAGCTCTCTGGGTGCCACGCTGGGGTCTGCGCTGGGAGGCTTTGGGACAGCAGGTAAGAACAGCAGCTTCTACGTGGGGAGAAAGGAGAGAAGCAGGTCGCCCAGTAGCTGCATTTGGAGCTCATGAGCTGCGGGAGCTGGCTCGGGTGCACAGGGCTGCTGAGCCCTCCTGCATCCACCCGAGGTTGCAGGGCGGTTTTCCTCCAGGGACTGCTGTGGCTTTCAACATCTGCAGCGCTTTCTCTTGAAAATTCTTTTAGTAGATGATACAATTAGAAGCACAAAAGTCCTGAGTTTGGTTTGTTACACGCATTACGGGGTGTCCCCTTGTTGCTACAAGATTAAGTTTTTTAACAGCTCTGGATTCCCGTGCCTTCAGCTCCTTGTGCTTGCTGGAGATAGTGGGGAGTTTGCTCCAGTGGTAACCATCTGTGTGTGAGCACAGACCTCAGGATAAGGGCTAAGTAACTTCGTGTGATTTTAAAAAAGCTGCTCTGAGATGGTTCCCATGCTTTCTTCTGGGAATTGTTTCTATCATACACCAAAAAAGGTCACTTGTGGTTGCCAGCCATGTTACATACATGGTTTGTTTTGATTTGTTAGGCAGCTGGAGACAAAGATTTTCTTTTTTTGCAGAATAAAACCAAACCAGAAAGATGTCTGGGGGTTGGTTTTTTTTTTCCCCTTAAGTTTGTTGTTTTGAAGTAGAACAATTGTTTTAATTACTGCTTAGTCTCTGAGGTAGTAATTGATGGTTCCCATGCTTTCTTCTGGGAATTGTTTCTATCATACACCAAAAAAGGTCACTTGTGGTTGCCAGCGTTACATACATGGTTTGTTTTGATTTGTTAGGCAGCTGGAGACAAAGATTTTCTTTTTTTGCAGAATAAAACCAAACCAGGAAGATGTCTGGGGGTTGGTTTTTTTTTTTTCCCTTTAAGTTTGTTGTTTTGAAGTAGAACAATTGTTTTAATTACTGCTTAGTCTCTGAGGTAGTAATTATGTCCTGAGCTTTCCTGCTTTCATCAGTGTGAAGGGCAAGTTAAAACATGCCTTTTGAACCTTCTCGATCAGGAAAGACTGAGGGACACACTGTCACTGCATCTGATCAGTTTTAAATAAAAGTTACCCTATTTTCCTTAAACCCAGCCTGAGAATTTGATCCATCTTGGATTCAGGTAAACACAGAATTCACGTCTTTCACTTCAGTTTGTTTAACTAACAGCATTCCATTACTAGTTTGCTCAATGCCAAGCTGCACGAACTTGTTTTCCCTCAATCAATGAATAAAAATGTGAGACCATTGCTTCTAGAACTTGTGTTCAGTCATGAAAAATGATTAGTTCATTACAGTTAACAGTTTCACTATTTACTAAACAAGATTTTAATGCAAAATTGATTTTTTTTCCCTCAAGTTGACAGTGCATTTGAAGAGTTTGTATTTGACTATCAGAACTCTTCAAAAAAGTGTTGGGTTTATGTGTTAAATTGAATTCTGATTCCATCTCAATAAAGCTTGGTGCAAACAGGAGCTGTTTTCTAATGTAATGAAAGGTGAGCACAAGGATTTCAAGTAAATGTACACGAAGCAATACCTGCTGTTAAGTAAACATGAATAGATAAAACATCTTGTTGGATTTGTTTTAGCTGTAATGGCCAAAGAATAAATATGAGGCAGTGCTCCTAGGGCAATTTAATATCTTCTGTTAAACTAAGTGCTGTGCTGAGGGGAGAAGAGCTCTGAAGTATGCAAACCTTCTCCTGAAGGTCCCGCAGCCAAGCGCGAGTGCTTGTCTCCAAAAACCCACGTGGTTGCTCCCGTTTCGTTCTGTCACTTCCTTTAGGTCAATTTTTATCTTCTTGGCCTTTCTGCTTGTGGATTTTTGGAGGTGTATTTCTCAACGTGTTCTTTTGGTATAAAAGCTACCAAGCTATAAATGCAAAGACATCATTCAAGCTAATTATTTATATTAGGGATTTCTGCTCAATCGTTAACATGGTTTTAATTAATGCGTTTCATTTGGGCACATGCAACACCCTTAGGAAAGCAGCAGCCTGGTTCAGAGCAGTAGTTCATAGCCATTGTACTGGCTCTCCAGCTCTCTGGGTGTCTCAGGCAGCTCGTTGACATCACACCGTTTTTCTCTCTTGCTCTTTCCAGTTGCTAACTCCAACACGGGCAGCGGCTCCCGACGAGACTCCCTTACAGGGAGCAGTGACCTGTACAAGAGGACATCCAGCAGTTTGACACCTATAGGACACAGTTTTTATAATGGCCTTGGGTTTTCCTCCTCTCCTGGACCCGTGGGAATGCCTCTGCCCAGCCAAGGACCTGGCCACTCTCAGACTCCACCACCTTCCTTGTCTTCACATGGATCATCTTCAAGTTTAAACCTGGGTAAGTGCCACAGTGCCCCTGTCCCTGCACTGCCGCTTGCTGCTCTGCACTCCCTCGGTGCGGAGTGAACACCTCGCTGCTGGGTGGGTGAGCTGCTGCTGCCTCCTTGCTGCTCCACTCCTGTGGCAGGGACCCTGCTTTCGCAGAAGCTGGTGAAACACCAAGCAGGAGTTGTAGGACCTGTGTTACGTGTTGTGTCTCTGACAGCAGTTCAGCTGTTAGAGGAGGGTTTCTGTATTGGCCGCCTTATTGCCTTGTCTCTGAATTATGGATAACAGTTCCAAGTGTTTGAAAAACAGTTTTTCTCGCACGCATCTCAGTAACACCACCAATTGTTTGTTATCCTTGAATAAAATAGTTATGGAGCACTGATCCTTAAACTTGTCAGATGTTTTAAAATACCCATTAAGATAAAAGAAAATAGAGCTCAGAGTACAGTTTCTTCTTTTAACCAAAATACACAAAATTACCTGGAGCAGTGCTTAGCTTTTAGCTGAAGATTTTGTGAGTTTGCTTTTGAAGATTTCCCATCAGCGTGGCCTTATCAAAAGCATGTTGGTGCATGGGAGAGGCTTTCTTAATTTTGGTAAGATATGTTGCTTCATGCAAGCTACGTCTTCTGGAAGAGATTCTAGCTGGCCCACGTATAATAAAATAAATCTTTAAAATAAAGAAAGCAAATATTAAATAATAAAGCTGTGCCAGTGCTCACCTGGACTTCTGAAGTGTTCATTTCCAGGCATCATAACAAGTAAGATAGGCTAGTTGTTGCATCCGCACCAGATAAATTTGTATTTGCTCAGAAAATTACTGTGTTTTGGTCGTGTCAATGATCTGTCTGGATTTAAAAAACCTTGTGGTTATCAGAACAGTTTTCCATGATATACACACTCATCAAATACTATATTTATCATTTTTATTATATGCATGTGTGATAAATTTAACACTGCCTGAAGGTTAGCATGGAATAGGAATAAATATGATTTTTTGAGATCAAGTTAAGGTTTCCCATCTTTCCTTGTTGAGAGCTGTAATAGAATTGGAAAGGTGTTTAGCTTTATTTATGCAGCTGTACGGTCCTTAAGCTGACAGTTAAATAGCTACAATAAATTAATGCTGAAGACTAACCAGATTCCAAATCTGGCACTAGAGAAAGTCTGTTGCCCCTGCAGGCAAACAAAAGAGCGAATCGTAAGAAACTGGATCAGAGGAGGGTTAACCGGTTTGAGAACAAACTCTGGAAAGCAAGTGGAGTTACCATTTACATCAATGGGTTGTGCCCCAGAGCAGTTAGCGTGGGTCTTCCCATCCTGCCAAAATATTCTTCTGCTTGTAGCCAGGTTTCCTCAGTGGCTGACGTCATGCTCGGTAATGCGGCAAGAAAAATCTCCTACAGGACAGCTTTGCATTTGGGTGGTCTTCACCTTGAGCCCCATAAGGATAATTTAATTTTTTTATCTGTCACCTGTAAAGCAAGGCAGTGTTTAATGTAGTCATCGTTTTCTTTGGTTATAAAATAAGTTTTACTGCTATAAAAACAGCACAGGCATTGTTTTTCCTTATAAGAAGCTTGAGGCTGACTCCTTTTCTATTTGGGAGTGGTATCAGAAGTAGTTAGTGATAAAGAGGACAAGAACTATTTCCAAATACCTAAAACTGAAAGGACAGGTGGGAACACCCAAACATGGTGTTGGCAAAAAGGGAAATCAGAGCAGTCAGGTTTAGAACCACGTCCTACCACTTGAGTTACGCGGCGGGGAGACAACCTGGGAGAGTCACTTCAGGTCGCTTTGATTTTAGGGTTACACCTCAGGGTGACCTGAGGAGTTGGCATTAAATCTGGCTTGCAGTCGGCAGATCTATGGTTAAATGCAGTGTGAGCTGGGGGTTTGACTTTGTCCTGTCTCATGGATGCGCAAGCCAATCATTTGTTGGGTTGGTGGTACGTGTAAAGATTCAGCTCCGGCTCTTCTGGCTTTCTGGAAGCTCGTAGCTGTGAAAAATGGTGTGTATTTACCCAGCTAGGGTTTTTGTGCTGTTGTAAAGTGACCTTGTGAAGTATCTGGGCAATCACAAGTACCTGAAATAACCGCGCAGCCGGTTCTTACAAAAAGAGCTACTGGAGGAGGGAGACCAAGCGACGTACGTGCTTCAGACGGGAAGGGGTGTGCGACATACGCAGCTGTGCATGGCTAGGATAGAGCAACTGTAAGTAAACACGCACTTTTGGGTGCCCAAGGCAGCAGGGGCCCTCTTCTTCCCCAGTACTGATCAAAATCATAGAATTATAAATTCCTAAATAGATTTTTTTTTAATTATAAAATTTGATTTTGGCCAGGTTACGCTACACATCAGTTCATGCAGACCCCCCAGGCAGTTTTTGTCAGCCCTTGGCAGCTGTAGCTGGCATGGTCGTCCCAGTAGAAACACCACGCTGCGGGCTGGGGCTGAATGTGTCCAACTCTGAGTTTTCCCAGTGTGGAATGGGGATCAGGATTTGCAGCGGACAAGTAATTATTTTCATTTTACGATTTTCTTGCGGGAGCTGCTTGGGAGAGAGCTGCCCCATGCTGTAGTCAGCCTGTAATTTAAAAGGCAGGCTCAGTGTGAGGAAGCTGATATACGCACGTGGGAATTTAACTTACTCGAGGTTTTGTGGGAAAACTGGCTGGGGAGTTGATAACCACTTAGTGGTGACTGGCTGGGAGGGCTGTGGGGCTGCATCTCTCTGGGCAGCTGGTGGCACAGCCTGGCACGGGGTTGCCTGGGGTGACAGGTTGGGGCAGTGATGCTGGGGGGTGTCTTGGGGGCTGCTGGTTCCTGCCCTTCCCGTCCCTGGGAAGGAACACGGGTTCCCCTCAGCTGGGCGGGCGCTGCCTGGCACCTCTGTGACAAGCCCTCCGTAGGGGACAGCAGTGGGGATGACATCTTCTCTGTCTGCTTTCTCACAGAGCCATCATTTCATTTTCCTTGTTTTCCAGTTGTTCTGGTACTTCTCTACTGGGAGCTCCTGCGTTGCAGAGCAATTTGAGGGCTTTATGAAAGTCCCCTGGAAGCTTGCTTAAGAAGTGCTTTGTTTTCAACAGCAGCCTTTGTGTTTCTTCCCCCGTGTTTTCCTTTTGACTCATCCTTTCATTGGCCTTTCCTTTCCCTGAAATCAGTAGTTCCTTCAGGTTAACATCTGTCTCGAGTGTCCCAGCAAGCACCAAGAAGATGACTTACCATTTCAAACTAGGGAGCACTCACTTGTTACCGCCGTGGTGTGGGTCTGAGTAACGCGTCCGCCTTGGAGTCCCCAGGATAGAGTCTCTGCGCTTTGTCCTCCTCAGATGCAGGTTTTTCCTGATGTAGCCCAGGCACTTTTAAGAAAATATGGTCACTATGTTCAGAGACAGAATCACACCACAGCTGTCCCTTCTGTACAACCTCTACGTGCTGCACCCAGCGCTGGTTTGCTGTCGTACGTGGATGCTGAGTGCTTGCGTGGGCAGCCTGGTGTTAGCACGATAGGAGGTCCCCACGCGGTTTGCAGACTCCCTTTTGCAGTTGGTTGTGGCTGAGGACACAGGAGAAACTATCAGTGCCAACATCTTGCAGGAGTCCTGTCCCTTCTTGGGTGTTTTTGCCCCTTTATTCCACCCTGGTGTCCCTAAGAGCTTCAGGAGCTTCCAGCCCCTGTGAACTGCTCTCCAACAAGACCCCACTGAAGTCTGGGATGTGGCTGTATTCCTAGCCACATGTTGACATAAAGGAGCTTGAAGCACTCGAGGTTTCTGGCCTTTGGTGGTTGACAGGTAGGTTTCAGAAGCACTTGCTTGGTTTGGAAACCTATTCCCAGTATGGTGTTGAACATCACTGGGAGACCTGCAGTCGGCATCTCCATCAGGAGAGAGGTGGCTAGAAAACTGGAGCACTTGTGGTTTATTTTGAATCTCCAGAAAGATCAGAACGTTTTTCTCAGAAAACCATTGACAGAGAAGACTTTGCACAAACTCTTCTTTCCCTGTTAACTGGGAGATAAGGCATAGGTGCGTGCTAGACCCTTTCCTCTTACAGCAGTTTGCAGATGATCAGGAACGCATTGTCACTTCAGCATTAGTGCTATGACTCATACTGGCTCCAGGCTTTCAAAAAACAAGTGGTAATGCTACAGAAAACGTTGCTCAGCTTGTCACTGTTGGGTTTCCTTTTCCTGAGAGGTGATTTGCTGTTCCTTTGAATATCCTGGTCTTTCCAGCAGTCAGGAATATCACGTGGTCACTTTCTGGGGTTCTTGCTGAATTAAGAATGCGGGTAGATAGAGAAGATGATGGCCACACCATTAGCAAGGTAGCATAAGGAAGAGATGTGAACAAGAAGCTCCCAAGGCTCCTCCTCGAGGTTTGGCACCAGCTCCAGAGAAGTCAGGACACGTTTGCCCAGCTCAGAGACGGTGGAGCTTAATTAGGCCATTATCAGATACTGAATTCTCATGCAGTGCTTCCTGCACGAGAGCTTCCTTCAGGCATTGGTGGCGGAGGAGTGCAGTTCACCAGCTCCTAGTTTATTTAATATTTCATTTCTGACACTGTAATGTGCACGGCTGCCAGGAGAGGGTCTGCTCTCCCTCAGACAGCCCTGCCGACGCTTGCCTTGAAGGTCTTCCCTCCGTCGCAAGACTCCTGTGGCTTTGTTGCAGGTGGTTTGCCCTCTCTGCCTCGCGTTGGCCTTGCGGGTGGCGAGCTTCCCACTCAGTAAGAACATTTTTCTTGGGGAGACTTTGTCCCACACAGGAAAAACCCCTCTGGCTGGAGGCACCTGTGGCCTGTGACCAGCAGAGGGATCCCGAGCCCTGCGAGAGAGGGAAGAGCCTCTGCCGTAGCTCTGAACCAGCTTTCGAAAAATCGCAGGCAAGGAGGCAGCGTTTCACAGTTTATGTTTGCTCCTGCCAACGCTTGCAGTGTGCTGACATCATCACTGTGTGATGGATCATTACCTGTTCCCCGTACCTTCCTGCTGGGTTGACTCAGCGGCTGTCTTCATGTGGGTGAAAGTCTTCAGGGCGTCCGTGAAAACACAGGATTTTAGA